GGTGCGGAGTCCGGAGAAGGCAAATCCTCGGCTGGGCTGGACTTCAGCTAGGAGTCCTTCCACCCGGCAGCTGTTTCGGGTGCGGTGAATGTGCAGACGGGTGGCCGTGCCCCGGTACATCACTGTCTACCCCGGGACACAGCGCAGCCGTGCCCTGGGAGCCCCTCTTGTTGCCCCAGTCGGGCTCGAGGAACAGGGCTGCACATGGGTTGCGCTGGTTGTTGCTGCAGGTTTTAGCAGCAGGAGCCGCCTCAATCCAGAGAGCGGCAGAAAAGTCGGGCCCTGCCCAGGCAGGGGGGAGAGGAGTGGAGAGGGCAGCCCCCCCACGCGGTGAAGCCCCCCGCCGCAGCCGAGACGGGATGTGTAGAGGCCGTGCCCCCGGGTGCGGCAGAAAAGCAAGCAGTGGAGTGCGGCTCTGTGGCCCATTGCACTGCCCCCGGGCCCAGCGGTGAGCAGGTGCCCCGGCTGCCCGGGGCGATCCTAGCGCAGGGTGCAGCCAGAGGGCTGGGAGGAGAGGGGCTGCCCCCGTTCCTTATGCATCTGATTTCCCTCTGGTGCCCAGGGCTGATTGCTGTTAAAACACAGAGCACTGGCAGAAAACTGGGAAACCCTGATGTTCAAGGGAACACCCCACTCTTACACCAGCAAAACACTCAGGCAGGCTGGTTTGTTCTCCCTGCGGAGCTGGAAAGCTCCAGCCAAATTAGGACTTGAACTCACAGTCTTTGCTACCTAAAGTAGCACCCTTACCACCAGACTACCAGGGAAGGCTGAAAGCTGCTCCAGCCCTGGGCCCCTTGAGGCGCATCGGCCAGGCCCCTCCAATGAACGAGAATGGCGCCTCCCCACAAAAAGAAGGAAAGGCTGGGATCTGAACCCAGGACCTCAGCACCCATACTGCAAGGCCCTGCACTGTGCACCACAGGACCCTGCTAGGCCTGACCTTCACTTCTGGGCCCCTTGACTCTTTCCATGCAGACACACTGGCCCCACTACAAGAGGAGCCCCAGGAAAGCTGCTGCCCCTGCCTGCCTCGTGGCCAAAGCCCCATCCTTTCAGGCAGGGTCAATGACTTTGACTGCACAAGGCCAGCATCCTCTAGCCCTGGCTTTCACTCTTGCTTTGCCCAGGTGCTGTGGGCCAAGGGCCATCATATTTGCCATGCCGGAGAGGACTTGATGCAGCCACCCATATTTGAGTACGGAGGCGGGGAGGTCTGCCTTTATTTGGGGTCATGGTGCTCCCTGGGAAAAGTGAAGCCACTGGGGACATCCCCCTGGGCTGCGGGGAACAGTTGTCTGTGGCTGCTCAGCAGGGACCGCTGCGGGGTCCCAGCTCCTGTGCGACCCCAGTCAAGGGGGTGCAGAGAAGAGGGGCTCGGGGGCCTCCAGCCGCAAGGGAATCAGGACCCCCAGCCTGAGCTTTACAGCACCGTGCCCCGGCCCCCCAGCTCTCGGGGAGACCTGGGGCTGGGGGGCAGGAGCGACCTCGGGCTGCCCTTGGGGAGCTGGACAGCCGCGTCCTGCAGAGTGCGGATATGTGGGGACCCAGGGAAAGCTGCCTACCCACATACTCTCCCCGGGCCTCCTCTGCTGTGCGCTGGGGGCAGAGCCTTGCTCCAGCTGTGGGGGACCTCTGAGCCCAGGGGACCGGTGCTCCCCACCCAGGGCTGCACATGAGCTCCACTGCCCTCTCCCCTGCCCGGTGCTGGATCACAACCGCCCCCCCACCCCGGGAGTAGGCTGGAGGCAGACCTGCCTGCAGCACCCCCTCCTCCAACCCTGTCCAAGGCAGGAGCCTGCTCTGGGCATGGCCCCTCCACCCCTAGGGAGCTTTGCCCCCGCCCTGGGCCTGCCCCCGAGAGCCTGGGACTCCTGCAGGGAGCCAGGACCTCCCTCTTGGAGTGGGGTGGGCGAGGGAAGGACCCCCGGGACCTGCTGCACTGCAGACCCGCCTGGCTGCCCCGGTGGTGCAGCAGCCCCAAGGGTGCTGCAGGCCTGGGGCTCCCACGCTGGGGATGCTCTAGCAGCTCCACCCCTGGCCTCGCAGCACCAGGTAGGTTTGAGACACATGGAGGGGTCAGCTGGGGGAGCTTCCTGCCCCGCACAAGGTGCCCCTGCCCTGCCCTCCTGCCCAGGCACTGCCCGCACCCTGAGGCAGCAGCACCTCGCTCCAGGCTGGGACGAGCTCCTGGCCCTGCGGGGCAGGCGGCTCCTCCTGGCCTCCCCTGCTCGAGCTGCGGATATGTGGGGATCCAGGGAAGGCCACCTGCCCAAATACTCTCCCCGGGGCCTGGTTCAGACTAAGGTCGAGTTGTGGAGCTGCCTCTGGGGCCCTCAAAAGGCAAAGGCCCATTACCTGGGCTGCCACTCGCAAAACCCAAACCAGCACCCCAGGGCTTCTGTCCTCATAGAGGGGTCACAACGCTGTCCCCAGGACGCCGCTCACCGCCCCAACGAGCTTCTCCAAAGGTGCACAGGAGCTGCGCAAGGGTCAGGCCAGCGGCCCCTGCCATGGGACGCCCTCCTCCACCCTGCGCTGGGGGCAGAGCCTTGCTCTGGCCATGGGGGCCTCTGAGCCCAGGGGACCAGTGCTCTCCCCCAGGACTGCACACAAGCTCCTCCGCCCTCCTGGCAGGGTGTCCTCCCCTGTGTTGGATCATGAGCACACATGGCCGCAGCCTGAAGGCAGACCCACCTCTTCCAGCCCCTGCTCCAAGGCAGAAACGTGCTCTCACTGTGGCATGGCCCCATCTACCCGCTATGTGACCCTTGCCCCTGGTTGTGTGCCTGCTTCTCTGGGAGCCCAGGACTCCTGCAGGGAGCCGGGACCTCCCTCTTGCTGGGGAAGCCCCCTGGGACCCCTGCTGAACTGGCTCTGTGGGGGCTGCTTGAACCCCTGGGCACAGGCAGGGCTCCCTGAGGGTCTGGGAGGCGCTCCCTGCCCCTTCCCGAAGGCTGCCCCTGCCCTCCTGGCTCAAGCACTGCTCCGAGTGCCTCCTTAGGCACCCATTGGAGCCCTGGGGTTCAAGCTCTGGGAGGAGATGGGGCTTGCTCCTGCCCCTGCCTGCTCAGGCACTAAGTACCTCCCTGGTTGAAGGCTCAGGGCTGTGCAATGGCCTCACCTGAGCCCTAGTCAATACTCACACCTCCTTGTGGCCACGGGCCCAGCTCAGTTATTGTGGCCTGAGCCTGGCCCAGCCTGGGCTTCCTGGCCCAGAGCAGCACCAAGCGCCGGGAAGGGAGTCAGGGCAAGTCCAAGGCACTTGGTCCTGCCCCAGCTGCACTGCAGCCATGCTGGAGGCTGTGGTGCTGCCCGCAGGGCCAGCCCAGCTTAGGGCATTGGAGCAGCAGTAGGCAGTGCCCGGCTGCCCCAGGAGCACCCTGGGCCCCACACCCTGCGGGCACGCAGCACCCCAGCCCCTCTGCCCCACGCACACAGCTGCAGGGCCAGCGCGGGGTGCGGAGCCATCTCAGCCCCGGTGCAGGCTCAACCCAGGTTCAGCAATGGGCCTTGCCCCGGTGGTGCAGCAGCCCCAAGGGTGCTGCAGGCCTGGGGGTGCCCACCCTGGGGATGCTCCAGTGGCTCCAGCCCCAGCCTCGCAGCGCCGGGTAGGTTAGAGGCAGCGAGGGGGTCTTGACAGCCTGGTTTGCAGAGGCGCCAGGTGCTCCTCACTCCCACGGATATCCGCGAAGTCTCCAGCAGTCAGCGCCTCTGCAAACTGGGTTAATGGGCCTCAGAAATAAATGTAACCAGAAACAACCTGGATCTAGAGGGGATTTACTGGTGCACTTGTGCCCTCCGCTGCTCTGATTCCTGATCCACTCAAAGTTTAAAACCACCTGCCCGGCAGTAGTGGTAGCATTTCTATTCAGGCAGTGCTGAGGGAGTTACTTGACTACATGGCTCATTATAATCTACCTGACCCCTTCTAAACTCTTCATTCCACACGTGGTAATGACCCTCTTTTCGTTTAATAGTCTTCATACTCCACCAATCAAGACATCCTTGGTTGTGCAATTCTACTGTCTGGTCGCTGCTCCTGGTAATGAAACTCCTATTTCAAAACCCTGCAGATTGTTTGGAACTCATTCCAATTAAGTTATATTTGTTTTTACTTCAATCTTAAACTAAATGTGTTCTCTAAGTGTGTGTTCTCTTTCAGGTTGGCTGAACTCCTCCGGCAGGCTTTAAACTAGACTCGTCAGCGGAAGGAGTCCCCCCTTGCCCCTGGAGCCCTTCTGCCCAGCCCACTCCTCTCTGCCGTGCTCCCCACACCTCCCCGCCAGCCACACGCCTGCAGTAGCAAACAAATTCTCCTTGCCTTTCGCGGTCACCGAGATGCCCATCGCTGCTTCCCTCAGGGAGTTCCTCTTCTTCCACTTGCCCTCGTCGATGTTGTACATCTCCACGATCTTCAGGGGCATCTGATTCACTCCAACCCCTCCGATCACCATGATCCGCTTGCCCAGGGTGGCCACCGCTACCCCAGCCCGGGCCGTGGGCATGGGAGGGAGGGAGTTCCACTGGTCGGCTTCTGGGGAGTACACCTCGAAGCAGTCCATGGGGACACCATTGTCATCGCAGCCCCCGATGGCAAAGACCTGCCCTCCCACTTCCACCAAGGAGCAGTAGACCCTGCGGCTGGGGAGAGGCGCCAGGGTTTTCCACTGGAAGTCTTTGATACTGGCCACTTCCATCATGCACCGTCAGAGGCGAGGGCAAGCATGTGCTGTGCCTGCCAGGGGGCTGGCTATGCTGCAAAACACAGGGAGAGAAAAGCATCGCATGCAGGCAAATGCAACAGAGAGAAGAAACCCGCACCCCCAGAGATCTGGGCAGCTGGGAGCGCAGCGAAGCCTCCACAATCAATACCTCCATGTCCATGCAGTCTCCACAATCCCTGGGATCTAGCTACCGCACACACATGCACACGCACACACATGGAAGCAGGGCCAGTACCTTTCAGCGCATCTCCATTAATCCTGCAGTTCCCCATCCACCAGAGGCTCACACAGAGACCAGTCCTAAAAAGGAAAGGCAAATAAGGTTGGATTCAGTTCGTTAACCCAGTTTCCCGTGCATCCCCGCCCCCGAGTGACATTCAAAGAAAAGATGCTGCAAACTGTCGGCTCTCTGCCTGGCTCAGGGGTTTCCTGGCTTAGAAGGAACTTTTCTTTGTTGAATTCTTCTCTGATATGATTGCTCTCCTTCGTTATTCCTGCCCGGTGTCTACCACATCCTGCGCCCGCAGAGAAGCCTGCCCGGGGAACCCATGCTGGGGGCATCCAGCGTGCAAGCCCTCCAGCCCCGCAGCCACGGCTCTCCGGCTGTTCCTCGCGCACTGTTACAGCTGAACTGTAAGGGATCCAAAGAGCAGCCCATTAAGAGAGAGTGAAAGGCACAAGCTCCCATTGTAGTCCCAGGATTATTGTTCCCTCTCTCCGAGTGGCTGTTAAACATGCAGATGAGATGAATAAATGAAGGGAGAAAGAGAGACACAGGAGGGGATTGAGCAAGGCAGCTGCCCACCCACACACCTAGGCATGAATAGGGGCACGCTGCATGGAGAGCTCAACCTTCCTTACATAACCGGAGCTGCTTTGTAGTTGGTCTCAAAGTCAAGTCGGGTTTCTCCCTCCCCTCACCCTCCACAAACACAGACAGCCACGCAGCGTGGGTTGTGGGCACGCACCCGGCTGCGGCATACAACATTTCTCTCCAGGCATCCCAAGCTGGTCCCTGCAGCTTGGGCTTGTGGTGTTAGGGATGAGCAGATATTTGTGAATAAAGGAAGCACGCACGGATGTTTACTGGCCTGCGCAGCAAAACCCTTTGTCCCCATTGCCCTGGCTCTATTTGACATTTTGGTACCCAGTACTTAGCGCTGGTAGGGCTGTCGTGGTGACATCTTCACCAAGGAGGGGAAGGACAGGGAGAATAGGGAGCCTGGGGTCACACGGGATGGGAGACAGAGTGAAAGCAGGAATCCAGACCCCAGCTCTGCTCTGTCTGAGCCGGAGCCCCCTTCCACTAACTCTTGGAAACCCGACTGCCCTGGAGATGTTCTCATCAAACTCCTCTGTGCTGCCATGGATGGAGGCTGACTCCCATCACCTCTCCTCGCCTATTGTCTTAAGGCTGAACACGGCGTCCATGTCTCTTACAGAGAGGGGTGCAGGGTCAGCGACCTCTATTCCTAGGCAAGGTCAAGTCAAGCAAAGCAAGAGACCCTCTGTGGTCCCTGAGAGGGCCAACTGAATTTCCTCTCTGTCACCAGGACCGGGGAAGAAGCAAACAGCTTGCCACCAGGCACCCTTGCACTGCACGAGCAGGGGACCGGCACCCTCCTCGTGGAGGTTGCACTGCCATTTGCAGTCCTATAAATCATGGCTGTGGACCAAGAGCTCGCAGGCTCCAGCTATCTCCAGGGCTAGGCTCTATCGCAGGACATCCTAGTATCCCACAGCCCATCTCAGCAGCAGCCAGACCCCAGCGTTAGACGCCGCGCACAGTCTCGGGTGGGTCTTGGTGCACAGACAGTGCAGGAAGCACTTCTGCCTCTGGTCCTGGCTGCACCTCTTCAGATCTCCCCGCCATGGAGCCCTTCCACAGCGAGAGCAGATTGAGAGAGTCTGTAGCCTAGCAACAACCACCTACAACTCCCTTTAATCACCCATCGTTTCGGATCTGAGCCGGGATCGTGATGTGCTCGGTGAACCACACGGAGCACATTCTCAACAGGAGGAGAGAAGGGCCAGAGGGTCTTAATGCTAGAGGGACCAGGGCAATGAGGAAGACCCTGGATGGTCAATTTTGTCCTCCTGAGGTGAGCATTGCAGCTGACAGCCCCAAAGAGCCTTTACTAAGCAGAGCCCCTTAACAGAGCTGGGCTCTTTTCCTGCCTCTGCCACTGCCCTGCTCCCTGACCTTGGGCAAATCACATCATCCCTCTATTCTTCCCATCAATAAAGAAGGACTACAGATACTGACCTTTACAAAGCCAACTAAAAACTGCTGATGGAAGGCACGATACAAGTGCTGGGGACTTATTTTAATTTATGCCCTACAGCAAAAGTACAAAGCGAACTTTCTGGCGATGGCTCTGCTCCTCTTTAGGGCGAGTGCCAGGACTATGCTCAAATACATTTCTATATACTTAGATGGGAACAAAAGTATCAGTGCTTCTGGCTCTCTGGACCATGCATGTATTGGCCAGGAAGCAGGAATCCGATGGGTGGCCACTACCACTTAGCACAGTCCAGCACCATTGAGGCAGCAGGGCTCCAAGGAGGAAAATCCATGGAAACCCCCAAGTGCAAGGACTTGTGGCATGGAGGAGCTGTCCCTGGCCCAGCTGCCTGGTTACGGACGCTCAGTAGGGGTGGAAGTGAGAACGTGGCCCAGGGCAGACACTTCCCATGCAAGCTTCCTTCTCACATGGCAGGCTCCCTAGTGCATCTCACTCCAACAAGGGAAGTTTAGGTTGGGTATTAGGAAAATCTTTCTTACTAGGAGGGTAGTAAAACACTGGAATGGGTTACCCAAAGAGGTGGTGGAGTCTCCATCCTTGGAGGTGTTTAAGACCCGGCTAGACCAAGCTTTGGCTGGGATGATGTAGCTGGGGCTGGTCCTGCTTTGAGCAGGGGGTTGGATTAGATGTGATCTCCTGAGGTCCCTTCCAACCCACATCGTCTATGATTCTAGATCACGAGGGGCACGGGCCTGACCTTAAGTGTGCCGAAGGAGATGAAAGCCTCTCCACTGACACCGCTAGACTTGGGATCAGGCCCTTTGTGAGGACAACTTTGCAGAGACCTGCCAACTTCATTCCAGCTGTGACCACAGTCAAACAGAGCCCAGGTGTCCAGAGAGTCTGGTGCATTAATCATCTACACAGCTGATGTTCAAGCTCCGTCTGAATTCAGCTGCCTTGGCAGGAAAACAGTCTCCTGTCCTTCCCCTCCTCCTCTGAAACAGAAAGCAAGGTCAGCCTAAAACACTGCATCACAGGCCTTCTCCCCTCTCTCAAGGATCACTAGACTTTTTTTTCCCCTTTTTTACACGAAAGCAATCACCGTGCTGAGCCTCAAGAGCGTGGAGCTGTCACCAGTGTGCTGAGCCAACACCCCCAACATCCTTCAGCCATTTTCCTCCTCATCTACTCCCAGGCAACTGGAATTATCACTTAATTATACCAAACAAATTGGAAGCGCTAACATTTTTTCCCCCTAAATGGCTACATTAAAACAAAAATGAATGGTAATTGCTTTCCTATCAGAGGCGATGGCAGATGAGAAGTTCTCCCCAGGACGCTGAGACAGCTGCCAGAACAGCCCAAATTGTTGCCGCCAGGATAAAAGCACCCAGCAGCATGGCACCTCTGGGCGCTCAGAGCTCGCAACAGGGGCTGGGACACCAAAAGGAGAATGGTGGGGTTGCGGGGCATGGGTGGAGAGGGGAAGAAACTTGTACCTGCAAATGAGGAAATATAGGGAATACGTGAGATGAGACTGACCTGGGCTGAGGGGCCTTAGCAGCTTTGCAGAATTCGGTCCCTAACTTCCTATTCTAATACCTTAAATAACAACCACTTGGCAGCTCTAACCGACAACACTGTGGCTCCTTGCCCTCGAGTTTCAGTTTCAGCTTCTGGTTTAGTACCTCACGGGACATCCCACCATGCATCATTAAAGCCATTTATTACACAGTGGGGCCACAGCCACAGCTGGAGTACATGGGAGCAGCTCCAGGAGAGTCACCAGGGCTCTGTCGGTCTCATCAGGCCGAGTGAACGGCTTTATGATGATACCCTGTTTTTCATGCCACGCTTGTTTGCAGTCATTTGCTTTTCCAAAAGCTGAGCATGCTCTGCCGCTTGGTAAGCTGCAAGGGGTATTATCAAGATGGACCGATCGAGCACGTAAGAAAGCAGAAGTCTCTGCATACACGCAGCTTAGCTGGAACGCAGGTAATCCCTTTGCACTCCCCTTCCCATAGCAGATGGGTTTAGTAGGGTGTCACGCGCCAAGGGTAGAGCTCACCAGGCTGCCGAGGGGCAGCTCAAGGCCTAGGCACCACTTAAATCCTCAGTCTTTGTGCAGCGGCTCTTTCTCGGGGTGTGAAAGTTTCCCTTTATCCTCCATGACTCAGATGTTGCTCCCACCACGCTAGTGCATGACTCGAGGGAGACTGGAAAGAGGAGCGAATCTATTTTCCCTCTCCAAAGTGGGCGAAGTGCAAAGGGGCCCTACAAGTGGAAAAATAACTGGGATATTCTTAATTTCATGCCCCCGGTGAGGAAATCCAGATATAGCCGAGCTGTCGCCGCATCTCTCTCGCAGGGAAACTCTATCAATTTCCGCGGAGCTTTATAAGGGCTCGAGGTGCCACCGCATTTCCTAAAAACCATGGTATCTCATTCTGATCTCATACCGCCTGCAAAAAGGTGACTCTTTGCTCTGCTGACGTCAGTGGATGTACTCTTGATCGACACCGGTGGAACTGGAGGGGAGTGAAGCTCAAAACCCATCAAAATCCCTTTGAGAACCGGGCTCTTAAAATATCACTGTGCCCCAGACTGACTCTGGCCTGCCAAAGCTTGATGCCTCCCCCACCAGCGCTGTGGAGTGGGCTGGAAAGATAGGTGCAGATGAGCTGCCAGCCTGACAGATAGACACATCACTGGAGCGGCTACTCCCCCTCCAAGAGAAAGCTCTCGTGCTCACCAGAAAGTCAGCCAGATAAGCGCCGTGCAGCGCTGCGGCGTGCCCGCCGAGCTGTCAGGGGGGCTCTAACGCTTAGATGTGAAAAACATGACATCAGGCCGATTCCAATAGCTGGAGCAATAATTATTCTCAGCGCACTGAGGACTGTCACAGCAGCAGAGGCAGAGACAGGGAACAATAGGTCGGGAATGGTATGCAAACACTGGGGAGAGATTGCCGCTCCTTTCCCCAAGCACGGCGTCTCCACTTGCAAGCGAGCTGCTTCATCTCAGTTCTACCGGCTGCTCGTGCTCTATTAAATAAAGAGCAGGAGAGACTAGAGACAGCATGGGACCGAGATACAGACACTGTCTACTGGAGATGCTGCAGAGCGGGGAGCTGAGCTTGGGTTTGCTCCGTGGATGATGTGGTGGAGGGGCACATTTCAGGGGGTTGTAAGTCGCTGTGCAGCACGGGGGAGTGTGGGGGTTCCTGGTTCCCCCATTAAGGAAACACCATTGTACCTGGTGGCAGGAGAGAGGCCGGAGGGACAAGCACGTAGCCGACTGACCCATCCTGTGACACGGTCGGTGTTGGAGCCCAGGTCTCCCCAAGGGTGCCTGCTCTCTCGCTAGGTAGGAGGGAGGCTTTGCACTTGCTGTTCAGCAAGTACCTGCCAAGGTAATGTATAGTAAACCTCCCACTTAGCTGCTGGAGTGGCTTTATGCCCACTTTTTGGAAATGGGAGACCCCTCCCTGGCTTGCCCCTGGGGCCTTATAGCTAAGGGCAAGCAAAACTCGGGGGCATCCGAACCCCAAGCCTCCGGGCTTGGGCCTGCAAGTAGGATGCACGCCAAAGGATTTGGAAACATCCGAGGCCTCAGATGTGGGTGGAGGATGTTTGCCGGCAGTAGGGCCACTTATGGTTCTGGCCCGATTCTTGGATTTGGAATTCATTTGGTTGATTTGGCTTGGAATATGGAAAATTAAAAAAAAACAACCAACCATGTCTACTGCCTGAACCAAGCTCAAGTGAAGTCAGCGGAAAGACTCTTACTGGCTTCAGCGTACTTTGAAATAGGTCCTCCTTGCTTAACTACTTCCGGAGACCACCTGCAGTATCTCTGCACATGCCCTGAAGGATGATCACTCTGATAACCCTCCTACTCTCCAGGTAAAGACTCCCAGGGACATGGCAAACTAGGCTCAAGTCAGTGGAGTCACACCAGGGCCGAGGTAGCCCCTGGCACAGTTGAACCCTACTTCTCCTAATGGGAAGGTCACCTGCAAAGGGGCTGGGGGCTTGAGCGATTTGTGCTGATGAAGCAGTTCCTTTGAGATCACTGTTGGAGCAGGGGGCAGCAAAACCATAGACTTGTCCTAAGAGCACGTGTCTGCCCTGGTGCATTTTCTCTCTGTAGAGAAGAGAAAAGCAGCAATCTGAGCGAGGATGAAAACGAGAGAGACAGAAATTGCTAAAACCGAACAGGAAGCTTGCGGAGACCAGAACGTGACCAAACAAGGGAGCAGATGCACGAGTATGTTCCTTGACCTTTTCCTCCGGTGTCACATGCCCAAGAAGTCACCAGGATGTGACAGCTTTTAAACAAACACATGCTGTGTCTTGAAATGTTCCAGACAGAGGAATGTCCTGCGAGCCTCGGGATGAGCTATGATCATCAACATCAGCTGCTTTTGCTCATTTAAAACCAATTTGGTGCAAGTCACACACACTTTCTCCTCGCTGCATGGGGGACACTGTAGTGCAGTACTAGGAAGGGCAAACCTAGGACAGAGGGTCGGAGCATTTGTCAACAGACTTCAGAGACAGAAAAACCCATTGAGAACAGAATTAGATGCTCCCTGCCTATGATTTTTTTGCACACAGAGGAGTGTTTGTACAGCTAGAGAGTTACTTCAAGGGACTTCGAAGTTGATAGTGTGACTCTGAGCTAGCTATACCCCACGCCGATTAAATGCAACAAGGTGACAGTGCCTTGTCACCACTAGGATTGTAGGTCAAGATTCCCGTCCTCACGTGGTAATGCATCTTTAGGGCAGGAAAGACACAGCCAAGGAGAGAAGTGGGAAATGCACTACTGGATGGGTTAGCAAAAAAACTCAGCACTATGTTTCCCAGTGCTCAGCACCAGCCAGGAGGCAGGATGTCCCGGTGAGCTCAGCTCCTATTTAGCCACCAAAATAATGCCCTCTGCCTTAGAAGAGCAAGGCACCCAGCGGCCCCATCATAACACCAACGGGGAGTTTCCAACCCGTGCATACAGCTCTACTAAAAACCTTGCTCTCTGTGTTGGTGCCTTGTGAAAGCTGGCATTGAGCCTATGGGGGCCAGGCCCCCACCTTCAAGGCCCCCCTGCTTTCTAGTGTGATCCTGCTAAAAGAAAGCCTTCTCGCTACTGTCTCTACCCTCCTGGAGGATGCTTCGGGATTCAGCCCTACCATGTGTGTGGATAGCATTCAGATCCAAGGATAGGAGGCCTTTCTTAAGCTTAGAGGATTATTGTATTATTATCCCGGCCCAAGAAGCATTGAGTTACTAGCCTGTGCTTTCAAATGACCCCAATTTAAACCGCGTTTCAGGTGAAAAGGCTTTAAATCACGCTCAAAACTGGGATTGCGCTGCTAACATTATTTCCCTCTTGCACAAACCCTGACAGCAGAGGTTTTTAAATTAAATGTATGTTCTGTTTAAGCCTGACATTTTTTGACCTCCCATCAAGTTGAATCGAGTTTCCCTTCCATGGCAACAGTTACCAAAAAAATAAAAAATCCCCTCGACAACAAAGCCCCGGCAACCCTTATTTCTGGGAGAGTGACATGGCTGGAAAAATTGTCGAGGGGAGGAAAGATGCTTCTGCTGGAAAGGGAAGGAGGGGGGAAAAGACGTTCCCTACAAGGGGTCGTTCATGTTGCCCATTCCCAGCCTAGAGAATATACCCACACACATTTCTCACATGCACATGCATGCTGTTTTAATGCAGGGCCAGGAGGCTATGAATGATTTAACCTCCTGCCTGGTTTTATCCCCATTACCGGTCCCTTGGGATTATCTGCAGCCTCATCGTGCCAAATGTAATTTCCTGATGTTGCTAAACAGGAGGGGGACAGAGAGGCCAGCGGAAGGAAGCACTCCACAGTTAACAGCAGGGCCACGGTAAATCCGGAGGAGCCCTGACAGGGGCAGCTAGCATGGCATGGGATAGGAAGAAAGGTTGCAAACTATCCCTTTTCCCTGTATGGTCAGGGAGCCCAGAACAAGGCAGGACTTGATGGAGCGTCTGACGGATGCTGAAGTTTGTCTCATGAGAGACTTAGGGCTATATAGTGACAGTGAGGGGACAAGTCACCCATCTCATACCTGGCCTGACATACCTGCGTCCCAGCCAGGTCCCTTGTCCCCACCCCCTTCACACCACCTCCGAGTCAGCAGCGTGCTATTAATTCCCCCGGGTCACACAAGCAAGAATCACATGAACACCCGGCAGTGCCACCGATGGCGCTTGCCAAGATCTAAGCCTTGCAATGTTGAGGCAACCGTTTTAAATGCAACTCAATTGCTCAGGCCAGGTCTTCAGCTGGGACAAATCAAACACGGTTGCATCAGCTTCACCCAGTTATCCCAGCTAAGGAGCCGGCTGCTTATGGTCCGACCTGCAGAGGAACAAACTGACAGCATCCACCTCTGGCCTACTGCGAGGTGAGTGGCCATCCCTCAAACCCAACCTCAGGGGACACAAAGCAGTAGCGTCCTCTGAGAATAGATGCATGCTGCAACCTTGGCTTGGCGGCTATTAAAAAAGCAGAAACATCGCTGCCGAAGCCTGACCCACATATTTATTTTTGATAACATGGTTGCTCTGAAAGATTCAGCTCAGGTGGCATCTTAAAAAGCCGGCTGGCGTGCAGAGGAAGCTGCTCCCCTTGCAATGCACGCAGACGCGCGCACACGCTAAGACCCCAATGACCTCCGGCGAATGGCTCTCTCTCAGTGCTAAAGAATACTTCAGGAGTGTCTTGTACTTACAGTCTCCAAGAGGCAGCGGTGGGTCCCTGGGATGCCTGGCGCTATTAGAAATGCTTTGCAGCGCTAACGTAAGGCAGAGTAATGCAGCTCCTGCAAAGGCAGCTCTCCGTCTCACTTCTCTCACACATCCATTCTCATTCTCTCTCTCTGCCGATCTCTCTCCGTCTCTGGAGGTTACAGCCCCTGTTAAGAGCAAAGCGAACCAAGCCAGAAGAAGCCTGGGATAGGGAGGGAGGGAGGGAGGAATAAAAAAAAAAAAAACAGGCTACATAAATCCAATGGCCCTAATCTTTACTTTCCTACAGGAGAGGAAAAACAATTACAGGCAGAGGACTCTCCATCTGCTGTGGTGACCTGTATTTTCTTCTGTGCCTGGAGTGAGGTGTGTGTGTGTGTGTTGGATTATGAGACCCATGCGAAGCCTTTTATGGATGTTTTACAACAGGGTCTTCTCCCTCCCCTCCAACTGCTAAGAAAACAAAACTATTGGGAAAGGGAGGCAGAAGACCGACAATGGGAGAGGCAGCACCGAAGAGCAGGAGCCGTCTCCCCGTCACGCACAGCCCCGAGGATGGGAGCTCAGTTCCCTGGACCCCAGTGTTATGTCTGCTCACGGCAGGGCTGTAATGAGCTTGGGGACTCGGGAACATCTCACGAGGCTGCCCGTGGGGTCCCTTCTTCTAGGCCAGTAGTTCTTCACCTTTTCAGACCCCAGGCCTCTCCCCATCCCTTATTTGAATTGAGCAGCACCCCATTTCAAAACCTACTCGAGATCATTTCTTGACTGCAGAAATATAACAGAGCAATTCTCCTGTTGCAAAAAACTCACAAAGACCATGGTGGGTCAGATACCTTTGGACACTGTGCACTCCCGTTTGCAAGCTCTGGGTTTATCTTGCGACTCACATGTAGGGTGTCTAACACACAAGTACCTTCAATCGGAGGTCGCAAATGTGGCTTTATCACGGACACCGTTACATCACCGATTCTGAGATTGATTTTTGCTTGTGAACCGCTGCTTCCCTGCCCAGCACCACCTTTCTGGGCATCTGAGCTCCTGACCTACACGTCAGTGCTTTCCCTAAAGGTACTGCAGAATTGTTTGGGATCTGCAAAAAAATACCAGAGGTCATTTCTGTGTAGAGACAGAGAGATCTTTAAAGAGTCTCTGTGGACAGAGTCAGTCCCAGAGGCATGTTTATATGGTGGTCCAGCAGCTGTTCACAGGCAGAGAGAGCTCCCTTCACTATGAGAGAGTCTCACTCATTGTCATTACTGTCGGGCTGCGATAGTCTCAGGTCCCAGGCAAATCATGTGTTGATGATGGTATAAGACAGCTCTCCATGGCATGGGCTCCCACTCACTAAGCGTGTAAGTCCTAGAGATAATGGATTAATTCAGCACCAGTGCGCACCACGCTCATGGACATATAAACAACCACATTTGGGCATTGGTGAGCTTGAACCTACAGCTTTCAGACCTAACAGGACAACTCTCAGCTGCCTAAAGATCAAAGGCAGCAGCCCTTTAGCTATTATCAGCCGTAGCCTCATTATTATGAGAGAAAGCAAAAACCTCAGTCTAGGCCCAAGCTAGTTGTAAACAGTCCAGATTTGCAAAAGGCTTTGGGAGACTCTGACCACAAGTTTCAGGGTCATATTGAACAAGCCAGGGTTATTGTTGCATAGGTAACATGAAGTCCTAGATAGAAACTCTATTTTTAAAGCAACCAGGCCATAAAACATGAGGAACTCAACAACAAGTTGAGTAAAATGACTCCACATGGAAGCAAATTCCCATCCCCTACCAGCTATTTTAATCTCCTATTAGCTTTCCGGTGGGAGGATTTAATTTGCATTTAAATAGAAACCTTCAGAACAGGGCCAGGCTAATGTTAAGATGCTAATTACAAAAGCATTTTCCTCTTTAAAAATTAAAAAAACCCCGTCAAAGTGCATTTTTAATGGGGGGGGGGGCGTTATTAGAGGTTTAGTTTTATTAGACACTTAGTATTTATAAGTTATTATTATTTAACACACTTTACAGCTCAGTCTCAGCAGCTGAAATGCCAGGAATCCAGTAAATTTTGCTAGACCGCAACCGAGTGTTAGGGCAGAGGAAACATCACCTTGTAAGGTCGTCTCAAGCCCTGAAACACCTGGCTGTGTCAAATATGCATTTCAAAGTACTGTGAGAAAGGAAAACTGGCATGTCCCAGCATGGAAATGGCAATTACGGACAGGCAAGTACAATGAGGAGGATGAGCCCAGAGGAAGAAAGCTGCACTTGAGCCTGCATATAATTTCAAGCATGAGAGTCATCCCTCCAAAGTCAAAGGAACTATTTACATGCTTACAGCTATGTGCCTGTGTTAACAGGTCAGGGCCTAGGCAGTTTGCCACGGGTTTCAATGAAGGGTCAGGACCTTTTAGCAAAGATGTCTGGAAGCCATGCAGTGAACCTATTATTTTTCCAACCAAAAAGTGGCATTTTGATTAAACAGAAATTTTCTTCCCATAAATCTCCATTGCAAATGTGTATGGCGAAGGTTTGAATGCAGCGGGGGCACTTTAGCTCTGCAACCTGCCATATGCCAATAAGGGCCTCAGTGGAAATGAATGGGATGGAAATAAATAAAGAAACAATGGAATAAATACACCTTGCTTGAGACCTAGCAGGGAGCACTGGCGCTGAGGATGGGCTGTGCTTGCATCTGGAGAGCCTCTGTTTAGTTAGCATTTTGGGTCCTTGCAACTCGACAGCCTGAGGCAGAGTCACCAGCACTAGCAGAGCGACCAGGGTGGGGGCGAGTCCTGCAGTCAGCTCTGCCCAGAGCATAAGGCAGGTACCAGGCTCTGACGTCAAGATCTTGCCTATGATTTCCACCTGCCTGCACAATAAAATCGCAGCTTCAGTGACCAAGCAGGACTTGCGGCAGGAAGAAGGGCTACCTGCACATCAGCAGCAGAAACCAGAAAGCCAGGAGCCCTGGGGTCCAAATCTCACGAAACAAAACACAACCGTTACTGGCTGCCGGGATGCTCGATGGTACAGCCTTCTGGCTGCAGCCACTAGCAGGGGGACCTGGATTACAGACGTGTTAGCAGGACTCAAATGTCATTCGGCAGAGGGCAGTAATTACACAAACAACTTCGCTTCGCCCTCTGCATAGGGGCCAAAGCCCCAGACCTGCAAACCTCCAAACTGGGAGGAGCAGTTAGATCCAAGTCAGGATCTGAACCTAGATGGGAATGTCACAACTGACTGCCACGTAACCGGCACGACCCGGATTCAAGCTCCAAGCGTTCACAATCCAGATCCGCACTCTGTAGCCCAGACTCCTCTGTCTAACCACGACTATTTCTCTTATTAAGTGTCTGTACAGAGCCTAGCGCACAGTGCCACGTGCTGTTCGGATCGCTCGGGTTTGATTCTGTGGTTTGAAACGTAAAAACAAGACGGTATTGTTCAAAACAATACAAACCGCAACGTCTCCATTACCTTTTTGTAGAACCTCCCAGTTTAAAATGCTCTGGGAAAAGGTCTGACCCTTTTTTTTTTCAATTAGCATTGAACACAGAGATCACTGAGCTCTGCCTTTGCCCTTCACAGCCACTTGTTCCCGTCAGGAAACCGCCAGGCAGCTTATGACTGTTTCATTGCACCCTTGGGTGTGTTGTTGGCAGCAGATTTGTACCTTAGACCTTCATTCACTGTAAGGTGAGTCAGAAAAATGCCAGTGGAGGCCACTCCATTAGAAAACACAGGTCCAGCAAAAGCCAAATGCCTCAAGAAAGGTGTCCGTTCCACAAAAACATTGGGTCTTTTGGGGGAAAAACATTCCAATAATGTTAAAACAACCTGTGGGGATAGCTTCAGGATGAGAAGAAATTAAAACAAAAAACACCCACGTTTTGTGGAGGAGGGGAGGAAATGTCCTTGCAGACTGCACAGGATTCCTCTGGATTCAAAACCAAGTGCTCTCTCAGCTGCTTTCGAAAGTGGAATTGCTCCCCAGCACCTCTGCTTGGGGGGGTTGATGCATACATTTTTATTCACCCAAGTGAAAGATCCAGTCCTGTTAACCAGGCTCAGAAGCCTCCACATGAGGCCAGCCAGGTCTGGACAGAGAAAGAGCGCTCCATCCATGCGGGCACGAGGCATCGATGGAGTCCTGAGCCAGCTGGGGCTAAGAGGATCTAGGGGCTAGGGCCCTGCACAGGGACTCTGGGGACCGCTGCAGATTTGCAGGCAATCTGAGTTTAGTTTCCCCTCCTGTCCTTTTGTCTGTGCACTTGACTCCCCTTTTTTGTGTGTGTGTGTGATAGGGGCCACCCCTTGCCGCGTGGCTGTACAGCACCTAGCATATTGCTATGCTGCTCCTGCTCTTGTGAGTTCCTCTAGCCGAGCGATTCTCACCCACGGTGCCAGGGCACCCTGGGGTGCTGCAACTTCTTTTGAAAGGTGTTGCAGGAATTGTGAAGAGATAAGAGCTGCGAGAGGAGATGAGCAGATACGGGCAAGCTCAGGCTCTTCCTGCCTAGCCATTCCCCCGCCCCTACCAGCCGGCCTCTCTGCAAGGAGGTGAGCACTGCAATAAATAACTTAGTTTGAAACGGGGTGCCGCTCAATTTGCAAAAGTTACGGCAGGGCGCCTCGAGGCGACATAGGTTGAGAAACACTGCTCTAGCTGGTATTAATGCCTCTAATTGCTAAAAGCAAACGCTGTTAGATCCTCACCTTCAAAAGCACCTGGTTCCCCACAGTTTAAATAAAATTAACATTATGACCTTTCAATTGCCAGGCAAGAATTTCTCAGAAGATGAATTCAATGGGCTTACCTTTCCAGGGACAATTAACTGCATCAGGTTAACACCTGCAAAGACAAAAGAAGGGAAATATCAAGCCTGGGGAGGCAGGAGGAGTGGTACTAGATAAATGATTGCAGAGACAGGGAGATCAGTTCCGCCATAAAAATCCAAGGTGTTCAGTCCATGACTGATGACTTCCCTGCTGTATGAGTCAGACCCGACAAGCTGGAAAATAACTGACTGTCTCTTAAGAACTGAGCTTACGTAACAGGCTACAGAGACACCAGAGTCCTCCGACACAAAGGCAGGAGAAGGCTTAGCTTTTTAAACGGGAGAAATTCCACAATACGACGACAGTCGTCAGACTTCTCTCCCGGCATGACGGCCTGCTCTGTAAAGAAAGGGAGACGCGCAGACATGCACACAGACAAAACCTGCTATGGAAACAGACCCATTGGGTGCTAAACTGTGTTGTTACATGAGTTGCGGGGGTAAGAAAAGAAGCGGGAACCAGTTTGATTTGGGAGCTTGTTATACAGTCTGAATAGGGGGAAAAGTGTCAAGTGCACCTACAGCATAAACTGGACAAAATGCATCTGTGGGCTGATTCCAGCTGGTGCTCTCATCCCCAAGGATTATGGTCATCCTGGCATGGAGGCAGGTCCAGCGGTATCTCAGGATGCTTCAGGTCGTTGCAAAGATGGTGGTGGCTCAGTCACCGCTCCTTGCGAATGGGGACCGGTTGTGAAACTTTCCCAGTTTCCTGAAAACAAGACAGAAGATTAAGAAAAAAAAATTTTGTTTTAAGGTTACAAAATAATCCCCCAAACCTGTAGCAGTTTTCTGCAAACCGACATCTGTTTCCATGGGAACCGCAGCAGAGGAGTTGTCGGGACGCTTTTAAATTACACAAATAGGCCAAGTGCTGAGATTTCAAGTTCCCCTCGCCTTAGCACACGCAGCCTGTCAAATACAGGGATCAGGGATGGAATTTTCCATGCACCCCCTTTGCTCCGTCCTAAGCATAATAACAGTCCCAAAGGGAGCCACTTGCCGTTTGGGTGTTCACCAAACCAGATGCTGGTTTGACACACGTGAGCAAAGTCATTTGTTTTGGAGCAGCTATTTGAGGGTGAAATTCCCAGCATATATTAGCCGATACCTAATGGGATTGCTTTATCCTTAGTGTCATGTTGTTTCTGCACTGGCCCCTCCACCTCTGATAGACCCCTTTGCTCAAGCGTCTGGGAAAAGCGGGTAGAGCTGCAGTGATGGGCTGAAGAGGAAGAGGTGGAGTGGGGGGGCAGGAGAACAAGCAACCCCACACAGCCCAGACCCAGACCCAGAGGCTGTGCAGGAATCCAGTGCATGTGGAGATCTGAACCCAGGTAAGGAGTGTAAATTATTTGCAGCATGGAAGAGATGCAGCTGACCCATAACAGTTGCTGCCAAGAGCTGGGGAAGTTAATCTTTGAGCTCAAGTGCTACAGCCCTGCACTTTGGGGCTAAAGATGCTGCTACGCGCTGGACCTGATGATCTTCCGAGGTCCCCTCCAGCCTCACCATGTATGAATCCATAAAGCTATGCTGTGTTCAGTCTCTCCCGGAGACGTGGCAGTCTGACCATTCATTCATTCTCCCTCGTGCAGGGCCGACAGCTAGTTCTGCCACAGCTAGTCACCTTAAGACTTGGAGCCACGAGCCGAGAGCTTCAGGATCTGTCCGAGTCCATACCCCAATGGGAGACCTCCACCAGCTGCGTGTGACCGCTCAGCTAGCACCGAGAGGCATCGTGTCAGCAGGGACAGTGGCGTGAAAAGACAGTGGCTGGAAAAATACATTAAAAACATTCAAAATTAGCCACGGCAAGCTGCGCTTCATTATCAGCAGAACAGCTTTAAACTGCCTAACAAGCTCCACTATAGAGAAGAGATGAAAAATAAGCCATCTGCTTTATCATGCCTTTTATTAAAAAGTCCATGCTTATTTACAGCTGGGAAAAGCTATTTGTTCCTATGGAGAAAGCTTCTGCGGGACATAGCAGGACCTGAAACTGTGGATCATTGTTCACGGTTACCATTGTAATTTTATTCCCAACTCACAGAGAGGGTTTTAATGCCTTCAACGGGGGAACAGAAGCCAGGGCACACTTTTTAGCTCTGGGAAGAGGCAACAGAGGCTTTAAATTGAAGAGACCATACCAGAGGTATCAGGTCTGCCGGGTTCTGCCCCTGTGCTGGAGGAGGAGTATGGACTAGTGGTTCGATGCGTGGCACAAGAGCAGGAGCATGAGTGAGTGAATAATGGAAATTTCCATTCCATTATAAAACAAAAAACAACAAGAAATGATTGAAATTATAATTCTAGGTTGACCCGAATGAATTGGGCTTTTTTTTTTTTTTTTGGCTGGTGAAACAAGCAAACAAAAAATGAAACCATTTCAGTGTAGGTTATTCCAGCCTTTCTACTTTATCCTTTAAACATATTTAGATCAAGAACAAAATACAAATTGGAAAGTCAAAACATTTTGTTTCCCCAACATTGAAATAGGGGGGCTCAGCTTTTCACAGCAGTTTTCTTTTCTCTCTCAGCAGCCCTGAAATTGCATTTTTGGCAATTTTTTCTATTCTCCAGAAAGGCTTTGCCCAGGGCTAGTCAGGACTGCTGGGTCCCATCCCCGGTTTACACATGGTCCCACTGGCTATACACAGACATCGTCTTAGGAGTGGGATCAGCTGTGCCTGGGCATATCACGGCACAGCTGATCCACTTCTTTGGTGTCTACAGATGTTGCAGACCCACTGTTCCTTATTGTTGGGCTCCTGCTATTGCTGGGGCTGCAGGGGCCCAATCCAAGAGGTTTCAAGCCCCAAGATATGTGCGCCATGGGAATCCCCTACAGGGTCCTCCCATTTCAGGTGTCACAAACTGTGACTTGCCTTTGCTCGCAGCAACATTTTTGGGCCCTTGGAGCGCGACAAGGGGCTAGCGAGGTCTGTCTGCTTGCAACCTGTGTGGCCACAAACATTGTTTTGGAGGCACACAGGCCAAGTCTGCTTGGATCCACTGTGCGAGCAAGCTGCCCACGCTCTCTGTGAATGTGTGTGGCAGACTACACAGCTGGTATGCCCTTTACCCACGGAGCTCATGTGGGGTAGGAAGGTCTAGCAAGTGCTTGCCATCATTTGGAGAGCAGGTGCCTGAAAACACCCTAGAAGGGCAGTGTTGGCATGCCTCTGTTTGACCCCCTTCTGCTGCACCCTGCCCTGTTAGGTGAGCACGTGCAGCAAGAAGCCTCTTCATGCCATAGGTGGGTGCATGTGTACTTACCTCACCGTTCTCCAAGACCCTAATCGCGTTTAAATGTGTTGAGAGCCCAGACAACCAAGTGGATTGTGCAGTGGTCGGTAGGATCACAACCCTGGGAGATAAAAAGAAAACCTGTTGGAATAAAGCACAAGCTTATGGAAAAGGCGACCATCTCCCCCACATCTCACCGCTCATTGTCTTTTGCCGCTCCAGCTCTCCAGGCACCATTAGGCCCCCAGCTGCTCCTCATCCCTTGGGTGTCTCTGAGAATACAGAGCTGTGTTATGGGAAAGTTGATTATAATTGACCTCACCACTATAGCGCCCCAGCTATTCCCTATTTAGCAACCATTTTGCTGTCATTATTCTCTCAGGGCTATTTCTGCCTAGCATAGATCGTCGCTGACAAGTCTCTAGCGGAGAAGGCTGCAGTGCATAAAATTAGAGGCATGGGGGAAGCAGGAGGAGACAGCAGCCTGCCAGCCTTCTGCGGGCGTCGTGACTGATGGGGAAAGCACAAACCAGCACAGCAGGGCAGAGGTCAGTTGGTCAAGAGGGTGCAGACCCCATTCGGCAATTATTGGTCTTAACTTGGCCATAGGTCCTTGCGGCGCAGAGGGGTGGGGGTAGAGGTGGGAGGGATGGCAGGTGGGCAGGGATCAAATAAGTAACTGAGGCAGAAGCACCCAGAATTGATGTGGACACTTCTATGCCTGCAATGCCCCAGGGTCTCTGCCAGCCACATTAAACCTGCCAACACTACGAGTTAAGGTCACCTGCCCCTTTCATCCATCTGGACGATGATACAGAGTCCTCAGGAGTTTCCCTGCACTGAGATGGGCGCCCTGCTATTCTCCTGATGCAGACCAAAAGGCTGCTCCTTCCCTCCCAGACAAATCCGGTGTGTCCAAAGGAAAGGCAAGCTGCTGAGCCATGCTAAGCAGCTGGCTGCCCTCAGAGTTTAAAAAAGGGAAAGGAATCCGTGGCCTGGCTGGCATGCCAAGAGCAATCAGAGCAGAGACCAACAGCAGGTGCTTACATTCACAAAGTGGCTGAGAAGTAAGCAAAGGGGTTTGTACCCAATCACAGTAAATCAAGTGTCAGACAGGCAGCGGAGCAGAGCAGATGCCACCCTGGTTAGCCAGACCGGGGTGGGGGTTCTCCCTACTCGCAGGGTGAAGCACCAGGACAGGCCCGTGCAACAGCACCGAGCAAAGGGAGGTGATAAAGTGCAGCAAGCAGAGACATGCTGCAAACAAAGCACATTCCTTCTGCTCCGTGTTCCCCAGCAATCTCCCTCTGTGGATCTGCCTGCCCAATCCAAAGCAACTCCTCTCTTGGGTTTGTATTTCCTAGATAAAGGGACAGCCATTCTTTACACCCAGATGCGGCTTCTCCTCCCCCCTCTGATAACCCTCCTGCTGTGACCCCAAGGGAAACGGCACCAAGCTTTCACCTGCAGTGGGATTAACTGGAACAGACAAGAATGGATCCGATCCCCCAGCAAACACTGCGAGTGTGATTGCATATGGTTACCTCCCCATATGAACCTACTGAAGCAAATGCTGAAAATGGGGGAAGGTTGGACCTATTCCAAACTGAGGGACAGCTCTGATTACAGCAGTGCCGGGGAGGTGCAAAGGCGAGCAATTTACTCTGTCTCCTTGCGAGATTCCAGACATTGGTTTTGGTCCAATGCAAATGAAATGGAGACTTTTCAGCCCTCTCACAGAAACACCCAAATCATGAGACCTGCTGCAGAAGAGCCAGGCGGGCAGGAGTCAGATGGGGTGCGGGGGGATGCAGGAGCCGCTCTCCGATGTAACCAAGAGGGGGTCTCTCTCTCATATGCACGCCCTTGTCCCAGCTCATCTTGTCCTGAAAGAAATCATCAAACGTTTCTGACCAACTTTTCCACACTGGAGCACTGAGCGCAGGTCTCACTCCCGCCAGAGACTTGCATAGTGAGGTTGGCAAGGCCAAACCTCACCCTGCTTTACTTCCCCAGGGGTAGCAAAGAAATAATCTTGCCCATCTCCCACCCAGTTGTCCATGTAGATTGTAAGCTGTCCTGGGGATGGTGTGTATGTACGGGACTCAGTGCAAGGAGCCCCCCAATCCCCAGTAGGCCTCCTGTAGCGCTATCCCTCCATACCAGACTGCCGAGGAGCACACCTGTGCACTCAACCATTCGTTAAGGCAGTCGTTCAATAGCTGGTACAAAATGTCAGTCGGTGTCCTTCTCCTTCCAGACTTCTGAGCTCTGGCCTGATAAAATGGCACCGTTTCCCGTTTTGCTCCAGTACTATTAGGAGTCTGAAATAATACAGCTTGTGAACACGGTACCAAAGCAAGCAGTCGTTGCCGTCCAGCACTTAACATCTTGGGAGCCAGGCGTCCTGGTCTGCTATTCCCCAGCTCTGATGCTGATTTGCTCTGACATGCTATTCCCCAGCTCTGATGCTGATTTGCTCCCACCCCTTTGACAAGCCTATTCTATCCTACGTGAGTCTGTACACCGTGCTCATCACCGTAGGACCCAAGCACCTTCCAGGAGCATGCCGAACAACGTGACTAACATCTGTCGTGCGTGTGCTCTCTCCTCCTCTCCGCAGGGAACGTGGGGCATGCAGCTGAGCGCATTTGGGATTCCTACATGCACACTCACACTCACACACACATGCTCGCACGCACACATGCACGCACGCACATCTGTTGCTGTCAGCTAGTAGCAGAGAAGGCAAGGTCAAAGAAACGTGCTCTGCACTTACAGCAGGAGATGAGGTTTGCTAGTCCTGGCTTTAGTTTACCCATCTGCAACACAAGACTAATAAGCCTGGCATGCCTCCCAGGGGAGGTTGTGAGGACTCGTTAGAAAGTGGTAGGAGATCCTCAGATAAAAGGTACGATATTGGAGCCAGCCAAACTCATTCTCGGTAACTCATTATCTGCAATTACACCAGAAATCAGTCTGGCCCGCTCTTTCCCCGCGGCGTGTCAAAGTCTTTATCTTTTCAGATGCTGCGGTGATGTAAACAGCTCTGCGTTGTGCTCCCATCTGAACTAGTACAAAAGGCCCTGTTTATAAAACGCGGTGTGGAGTATAGTGATTGAGACGTACCAGGCCTCCAATCTGGCCATTAAAGTCAATCAATGGCCTTGAACTAAAACCCCACAGAAATCATCCCATTTCCAGCAGAATATTGAAAGCCTTTCTGAAATATAAGCCTAACGGGCTGGAGGGGAGAGGACATGAAATGGTAGATGAGAGGCTCAATCTGTAGATCCTGGGGGAGAAGCTGAGGTCCCAACAGGCACTCAGAAAACCTCACTGCCCCCATGCAATCTTGTTGGTTTAATAAAAGATATCATCCCTACTAGGAGTCTTGATTGCTTTTTGCTCTAGACCAATACGGCTACACCCTGGATACCTGCCCCCATGCATTCATTTATGGATCAACACAGCAACGCACTTGGACCCTAGCGGGACTTTGCGTTTGCTGGATCACAGCTCAGCACCCGCAGCTCCACTTGCAGTCCGTGGCAACAACAGGCGCTCAGCACCGCTGGGAATCAGGC